TTGTCAAAGCAGCAGAAAATACCATAGTCCTCGGATATTTTAACGCTAAAGTCGGCAAAGGACGCTGTTTGAACATTGAGGGGGATCATGGCTCGGGAAACAGAAACAAACGTGGAGATCAACTTGTCCAGTTCTGTTAAGAACATGATTTCATTATATCGAATACTTACTTTAAACTACCACCAATAAGACTCTAGAGCTAGAAGTCAAATGCAGAATCAGAGGACAAAATTATTAGGAACCAAATCGACTTCATTCTAATAAAAAAATCGATTTAAAAACTGCATCAAATCAGTTAAAACTTATCCAGGTGCAGACATTGGGTCTGTTCAGAATCCCATAGTAGCTGTAACCCAATTAAAATTAAAAAAGGTGATCGAAAAGAAGTCTCGCAAAAATATTGATACAGCCCATTTACAAGACAAGAAAGTTAAGAAATCAGTTCAAAAACAACTGAACGAAAATTTAATTTGGGAAAATATCGACGAAAACGTCGATGAGGGCTTAAATAAAATCGTAACAACAGTAAAAGAAATCTGTGAGAAATTTACAAGGCAGGTCAAAGCTAAAAAATCAGTCTTGGATGACAGAAGACATATTGGATTTGATGGAACAACAGCGACTAGCGAAAAACAACGAAACACTTTACAACAGCATACAAAAAAATTCGACTTAAAATACGAGAAGCAAATAGTCAACATCTAGCCAAACAGTGTCATGACATTGAAGAATTTAAAAACAGATAGAACACGTTTAACATGTATAAAAAAGTGAAAGAAGCGGCTGGTATCTTTAATAAGAAACAAACTGCATTGCTACAGGATGGACAGGATAGTAAAGTAATATTTGAAATAGAGGACAAACTTAAAGAATGGGAAAATTACGTCACGAACATATTTGAAGACGAAAGTAGTTCACCTCCCGATATTACTAACTGCGACGGACCCCAATAACACGCTCTGAGGTTATAAAAGCCATACAATTATCAAAAGATGGCAAACCGTCTGGGCCTGATAAAATTCCAACTGAAATATACAAGCTTATAAATGATAGCAATGTGTTAGAGGCTATAACTTCGTTTTTCAATACCATTTATACCAGCGGACAACTAACTAATGAACTTTGAAAATTAAGGCAATTATTTGCTATTTATAACTGGGAATAAGCCACAATTAAAGATAAAAATACATTTATTGACGTTTCAATTTCCAATTCGGAAATCGTTCTCAAAATAATAGTATAAATAGCAATTAATTTACAATGCCACAAGAAAATAGCTTCAGAACAATATTAAGGCAATTATATCGAGCACAAGTTTAATCAAATCTTGCCCAAGTACTTTCGCTTAATATAGCATCTTCAGGTCCATTTCGTCCAATATGGGCTATCCAGCAAGCGTAGAATGTAATAAACATGAATGTGAACATAAAATTGTACAAACACTACACTACAACAAGGACAAACAGTTTAAAATTAATTAAAATAGTTCTACGCTACATTCTATGGCTGTAACAGGAGAAAGAATGGAGAGAGAATTCTCTCTCCTGTTACCGCCAAAGAATGTACCGTAGAACTATTTTAATTAATTTTAAACTGTTTGTCCTTGTTCTAAAAATGAACATTTTGAAATCAAATTCAAATAATCTTTATTTCACACCAATTGCAATTCAAAATTCTTCTTCCGCATAGGTACACAGCAATCCTACAGTTGCCCATCAAGTCTCCAATACAATTCTTGTGACTTATTCATCATTAACTTAACCTTATTCACATACAATTAGTTATAATGACACTACAGGATATTACTGTCTCAATTTTAATAAACTAATTAGTATTATAAAAATCAAGATATTCGCTGTGAGCCGATGAGTAGAGGGGATTTGACAGTTTTCACCAACGCTGTTAGTGGCAGTTTTGTGCATTTAACTTGTAAACATTCAAATAATGGCGAATATGGATTTTTCAAAAAGAAAAATATATGATACATGTAAAAATACTGGGTACAACAGTCATTGTAAATTTTATTCATTTCCTGTTGCCAAGCATAAAATAGTTCAAAGAGAAACATGGATTATTGCTATCAACGAGAAAAATAAGTAAATAACCTATAATGCAAACATGATATTTGTATGGTGTAAAATTAAAAAGCTATTATATTTCGAAACATTGCGTACATGCCCTGCATCAACTAAACCTTTTCCCTTTTTTGATGTAGCTGGTTGAAATGGGATATCATGTGATATAGACTTAAAACCAGTATAATGTTTAATATCCATTTTGATAAAATTAAAACAAATTTAAGAGGTGGAGGCCATAAAACGAAAGAAGAAGAAGAAGAATTAAAACAAATTGATATCTAAGCACTAAGGCCTACGCACACAAAAAATAACTGAGCAAAAACAGAATAAAAATGTAAAATAAAAATAAGAATTACAACGTTACAGAGGTATAGGTAACCAGAATATAGACGTTTTAAGCGTCTATAACCTTAAATATTTGCTTTAACCATTAAATATTTTCATATAAACTTCTTCTTTTTCTCAATGACCTCTTGCGTAAGTAGTCATCCAGTCGCAAGAACTTATATCTTAAATATTATAATTATAATGAATAAAATAACAAGGCGTAATTACTTTTACTATTAATTCCGTGTATTCGTTCATTAATCAGTTTACCATAATATTTCAGTTCATTATTTTGTATTTTTAAATTAATATCTATTTTTCTCGTTTTGTCGTATTTCATTTACACTGATTTTACAAGAAAAGTACAAGTTTCAAACCGCGAGAGAGCGCTACCGGCGAAACTCACAGCGAATGGGTCCTTGGCCTGGTTTACTTTTTAAAAAATGTACAATCAATATTTTTCCAACTGTCATTGTCAGTGTAAACAGCCAATTGTCACTTCCACTATATTAAATTAGTTGCAAGTTGGTATTTAACATTCCTACAGTTCGGATGCAGAAAACTCTTTCGAGTAGGGACTTATGTTCCCTGTAGATAATCTAAGTCCATCAGCATATTGTCAGATAATTAAGCAATTTTAAGTATGGTTTAATCAATTCAAACCCAACCACTGTTTGGTTTTGAGATTATTATGCAAGTAATATAAAGTAACTAATTAACCACATGTTTCCATATAATAGTCAAAATATGTACCTTACGTTTTTATTAATTGAGTGGGATTACTTGCATTTAATATACTGAAGATGGACTGATTAGCGCGAAAATGTTTTGAACTTAATCCTTTTGGATTTTTAAATTAAATTTTTAATTAAATATACCAATTATAACATTATAATTCTTTTCATTCCATGCTATTCCCACAATAGGGCAACGCTGTGCGAACATCACAATCTGTCTACGAATTTATAAGGAAAGGATTAATATATAAAATGGGTAAAAATAATATTTTTTCTATTAAATATTATATAAGTTAAATTAAAATATACGAAATTTATTTAAAACTTGAGACAAAACTACGCAATGTTACAAGAAAATCGATCAGATATTTGAAGAATATACTCGTATAAACAAAGCGTTTAACAATGTCGAAAACAACAAAAAAGCCGGACCAGGAAACATAAAAATAAAATTGTTGAAATATGGAGGGAAAAGGGTAGTGTCATTTTTTAGAGTCTTGTTTAATACAATTGAAAGAGTAAAAGGCAATTCATACATGTCATACATATTTAAAAAGAAGACAATAGATCGACTATAGAGGGATAAGTGTAATGTCTTCAATTGCCAGAATCTTTCCCACAGTAATAAGAGATAAAATAGAACAACACATGAATAACTACAGTGAAGAATTGTCTGGATTTCGGAAAGCCAGACATCGTGCCTCGACAATTATATTTATCATCAGATAAGTTATCGAAGAAAACATTGAAAGACACATGACCTTCATAGATTTTAAAAGAGCGCAGGTCAGTGTAACCATGCAACAACTCTGAAAAGCATTGAAAAGGATGAACGTTACGAAGCAATGAAAAGGCAACAAAAGCAAAAAGTAATAAATTAACAAAACCAATCGCTTTAACAAAAGGTCTTAAACAAGTATGCGGCCCATTACTTACACTTTGTAACATATAGATCAAGCTTTAAAAAAGGTGGCCTAGAAAATTCGGAGCTATGGGCATAACAATACAAGGAAATGTATTGCACTTAATACTTTTCTCAGACAATCAGATCATTTTTACACACGAAAACGGGACATGGAATATATGATAAGAAATATGGAAATAAAGAAAAGAGTACAAATCATGGGACTTAAAAATAAATATGAGTAAGACGGAATACTTGTAGGTATATAAAAAGAGATGTTGCAGATCTAAGCTTAAGCTTAGAAGACGAGATTGTCAAAAGTTGCCAGACTTTTAAGGATTTTTTAGGATCGGTAGTACATAGAGATGTTACATATCTATGAGATATAAAAATGAAAATATCTCGGGAAGTAACTTACAATCTCATTTCATGGGATGTGGAACAACACTCTCACTAAAAAAAAAGAAAAACAAAAAAAGAATCTTTCACCGCATCGTGAAAAATATTACTGTATACAGAGCAAAAGTATGGCCAATGACCACAAAAATATGAAATACCATAAGGACGGTTGAATTAAATTTTATCAGAAGATATCTTCAAATTACCAGACGGGGACAGCATAAGCACTGAGGAAATATGGAACCGGATGGAAGGTAGTAGAATTCTCAATAACAAAAAATTGGAAAATCGAGCTCTACAAGGGTATGGTCATGTTCAAACAATGTCAGACCATAGATGGCCAAAAAGCCAGCTATAAGATGAAAAACATATTGTAGAGAATTCAGTAATAAAGTGAGATATCACAGAAGGTGACTGAGAAGATCGAAAGCTGTGGAGGGTTACAACGATGAACTCATATTGAGGAAATTCCAAAGTAGAAGAAGAGAATATAATATATTACATGCACGTGGAAAAGTTATAGAATAAATAGAACTTAGGCAAATAAAGACTTACCGTTCCATAGGTAACCCTGCTTGTATCCCAAAATCCAGATCATCTTGTACTTAAGTTCGATTGCTACCTCATTTGACTCTGGAATCAATACTGCCAATTTATGCTTAAGTAACTTATACATAATTTTAAAATCATCATCGCTAAGACCTCTTAGCACTGATGCAATAAGAGTTAACTTTTTACCGACATCTTTGACGTTTTCCATAGAAGTACAAGTGTCACATTGCCAGTGAGATGGTAGTAGGGGATTTTTTGGTAGTAAATTGCCTTTGCATGTTTTACAGCAGATGGCGTTCATGTAGGTATTAAATTCTGATGGATCTTTACATCTAAAAATGTAAACATATTTTATTGCTAAATGGCAAGTATTTTATGGCTAAAGTTTAGTGTATACCATAAAAAATTTAAACATACTAAAAAACGATAAGCGCGATATATCTTTTAACGATAAATGCCTCTTCTTCTTACTTAGTTTTTCCATTTTCAGGGGTCGCTGTTCCTTGATTTTATTCGCCACTTATTCCTGTCCATTATGTTTGCTTCATTTAAACGTTTTTCTCTTAAATCCTCTGCCACACAGTCCTTCCATCTTCTCCTTGGTTTTTATTTACCTATGTTTTCATCAAATTATAACTGGCGAATGGATTTAGTGCCCGCAGTCATTTAAACACAAACAAAAAAAAATCAAATTATAACAGCTCTATCCTTCGTCCCACATAGTTCTCATTTCTACGTCTGACGTAACCAAATCATTGCAGCCTTTGTTCTTGAACGCTTTTAGAGACTGTGGTCACCCCTGTTTTTTCCTAATAATGTCTGATCTTATCCCTAAAAGTCTTACTCAACATCCACCGTAACATTTTCATTTTAGCTACCTCATTTCTTTCCTTTCTGTCCTCTCTAATTCTCCGATTTTTGATCACAGAGTACCCCGCTCAAATAACCTTAAATAAGCCCGCCGAGGCGGCTTTTGGTTACTTGTATTGGCGTTTCTACGTATCAATGCGAATTGTTTTTAATAATTAGTAATTGTGGTATTTGTAATTAAGTAAGTTTTTCAGTTAAATAAAGTTAGTCAAACCACGTTGTCCTTCACTTACTCTCCGAATCTACAGAAAAACCTAACAACTAGTGACAAAAGTGGATTAAGTGAAAGCAGATATTTTCAAGAATTTATTTAGTCAAAACAAGAAGAGGAACCAAGATGGAGGATTTTTGAGATATGATTGCCGAAACAAAATAACGTTCTAGTAGAATAGGGAGCTAAAGAGAGACGTCGTCAGCAAGACAAAGATTTGCTCGTAAGTCTTATATCAAAAATTGAGGCCTCAAAAATGGCTAGATATGAAAAGAAAATCAACTACTGATTTTACTTTAATTTGTATATCTATCACTGATATTATTTTAGCGTGTTTCTTTTACTAATTGTATTAATTTAATTATTAATTGAATATCCACAAGGAATCTACGTTTCTGTAGTTGGCTGTATACCATTTATTAAAAAAAAATTATTAAAAAACCTTTATAAAAGGTATATATTTAAAAAAACCCTAACGGGCTAATTATACAAAACGTTTTCGGAATCTATATTATATCATCAGTATCTAGGAGTACATGAATGAATATAGCCACTAAATATATGGGTAAAAACCCGTTAACAAATAATTAGTTATATTTGGTGTACAATATTATTTCTTATATGTTATGATGTTAAAGTTACCGTTGGATAAGGTAACATGGCGACATATGACTCCACGTTGAAGTTGCTAGTCCTGAGACGGTGTGTCTACAAGGACTTGGTTGGTTCCATACGGTACACACTTCGAGGTAAAACTGTCAAAATCCTCCAAAACAAACATCCCAGATCACACAAAAGAGCTATATACAAAATACAACATACCTATTTAATAAAATATCCTAAATAGTGCAAACATTTTCAATCTCATTAGCTTAATGAGACATGTTTCAAAAGGCATTTCTTCGCAAAATTCATACCAGGGAAACTAAAAAATGAGAAGAGATGGGTGGCGCTACGTAATTTGGATTTATTGAAAATTTAGGGACTACAGAAACTTTGTTCCCGTTGAAATTCTTCATTTCAAACACTATTAGTGGCAGTATGTTTTTATACCACTTTACCCACAAAAAAGTACTGAGAAGAACAGGCAAAAAGAGTCACCTTTGAATACTGTAAAATAAAGAACAATGTCACATTTGGTCCACATGGTCAAAGATTTACCATGCACAAAAGCACAGAAGCTCATACTTCAACGTAAAATAAAGGATAAGATTCATGATTACATATTATACGAGACTAGTATGGACTTTCCAACGTACGTAACAATAGAAACGGTTGACCCCAATGTACTGGTAGTGCCCGAGGCTAAAAGAAGAGAAAGTGGAAGTCTGATGGACAATATGTTAAAAAAAGAGGCTTCAAGGAAAAAAGAAGGAAAATATAAGTATAAATGTCTCCAGCAGTAAATGTAAAAAACTAGCGCTGATTAGTTAGGTATTCCATTGACTTACCTTTCACATTTACAAATAAAATGTTTGGTATTTTTTAAATGAAAATTCCTACTAACGGTGCCCCATAAAAGTCTTGTGTACGAATGAAATATTTCAGTATTCTTTTCTATGAATACTGCAGCTCGAACTATCATTCTGTGTTGTTCATCGAATACATGGAAAGCATTTGGATAACACCTGTGATTGGCCAAACTACCTAGAGGAAATAGACCTAAAACCAAATATTTTATGTTAAAGTTAATAGCGAACTTATTGTGTAATGACCCACTTTTCACTTACTTTTTAGATGTACTAAATATTTTACCTCTAACAGTATTCATATTATCAAGCGGATCAGTTAGGACTTCAAACGCATTTGCATCCAACACAGTGCAGACATGATACAAGAACTTGGTTTCGTCTTCTGGTATAGTTAAACCCAATTTTCCTGTTAGAATCTCTATTTCTTTACCATGTTGACTTCCTTTATGGGATTTTAAGCTAACCACTAATTCTACATCCTCTCTGGTTAAAGTTAGGGATCTTAAAGGAGTCATACATTTGGTTAGTACCTTGTTGTCTTCATCCGAAAATATTCTATCTTTTTTAAAGTTTCTGATCAGAAGACATTCTTTTTGATGGTGTTCTGACAATTTGCATAAGTTGCAAACAATGAGGCCGCAATTTTTATCACAGGTGGTCAAATTCCTTTTACTAAAAAAAAAAAAAAATAGAATTTCATACACGCTTAAAACATTATTTAAAAAACTGTGATCAGTTACATTAACCTTTGTATTATTTTCAATTTCTTGTGCCTTATTTGTAGAGTCGAAATTTTGTGGTTCTTTTTGTAGAATGTATGTTGAATAAATACTTACTGTTACGACAGGTTCCTTGAGATTTATTTCATATAGACAAAATGCCTTGACAAAAAAGAAAAAGTATTAAAAATATCTATATTATATTTGTCTAACAGAAAAGTAGAATATAAACACTATTAACACGTGATAAATTCATTCAAAATCTCTAGAGACGCTGAAGAGGTATCTACTTGTTACAAAATCACTTATATTGTAACTGATACAAAAACGTATCAAAAGTAACAAGTAGAAACTTACAAGTAACGACAATCTACACCTCTAAACAAAAACACAGATATGGATTCAGTAATCCTTAAAAATCACATTTATGTCTGTTGAATTTAATTATATAAATATAATTTTTACTTTTAATAGCTCTATGTATGTGTGTTGGTATAATTATAGTGTTGGTTTATAATAATTATAGTACCTATTATTTAAATAAACTTAGAATTGTGAAAATTTTTAAGGTGTTTGCTGTGTTCTATCAACTTAAGTTGTTAATATTTGATATTATTTTGACTCTATTATAATAATTATCTATTATAATGATAAAATAGTTGCAAGTGTGAGTCAATAATTGAACAGATATATTAAAAAGGTCAATACTCACAATCTAATATTTACATTCAAAGTGTTACAGAACCGATCGGTTTCGACGCTTACAATATTTGCCCCATTCTCAGGCCCAGCAAAGAGATTGTTTTGTTAAAAATTAATAATATAGATATCGCCAATAAGAAGTTTTCCGCTTACAACCAGAGTACTGTCTGTCTTCATCTTTTCCTTATGACACTATGATTGTAGTGAGGTGATATGTTGATCATTATACAGTGTGGAAACCACTTATGAAATAAAATTGTTTGTGTCCTTAAATTTAAATGTGCGCTTCATAAATATAAATTTAAATATACAGGGTGATCCACGCAAGTCTGGCATAGTCCATAATCTGTATTTTAAATTATCCTATATATTTTTATGTTTTTAAAAACTCCTTAATAACCCGATCTCAACGAACTATATCATGTAGGGTCTATTATGAATAATACAAGGTGAATTTTTGAAATTAAGTGTAATTTTCTTCAAGACAATTATTAATTCATAGAATACCCGAGGTAATTGATTGGATTACATTAAAATAAATGCTCAACATGTTCTCCACCTTGTTGTTGGCAATAACACAGTCTCCTATAAATCTCGTCCAGAACTTTGTTTAAAGTTTGAGGTGAAATATTCCGTATTTCTGTAGTTTTCCTTTCTTTGAGGTCTTCAATGCTAGTTGGTTGTGTTGCATATACTTTGTTCTTGAGATAACCCCACAGAAAAAATCCAAAAGCGTGAGATCTGGCGACCTAGCTGGCCACTCAATAGTACCCCTTCGTCCAATCCATTTATTGAAGATTTCATTTAAGTAATTTCTCACCAATAAAGCATAATGGGGTGTTGCACCGTCCTGCTGGAACCAAACAGTTTCATGCGGTAGGGTCAGATCTATTGGATTGAAATATAAGTAAGCCAACTGAGGAAGAACATCGTCTCTTAGCATGCTTAAATATTTTTCCGCTGTCAAATTACCATCTACAAATATAGGACCAATACTATGATCTCCTATAATACCTGACCAAACATTCAACTTTTGAGGATACTGAGTGTGTCTCACGTATCAAATGAGGATTCTTCGCTGACCAATATCTACAGTTTTGTCGGTTAACCTCTTCGTTCAATGTAAATGTTGATTTATCAGAAAAAAGAATTGTGCCAAGAGATATTTCATTTGAGTAAATTTTATCGATCACTCTTTCGCAGAAATCCATTCTACGATCTGGATCGTCTTCTGTTAGCTTCTGCACAAAAGTCAATTTATATGGATGAAGTGTTTCTTCATTAAGACACCTTAGGATAGTTGTGTGACTCACAATATTTTGACTTGTAATTTGACGTGAACTTGACATTGGATTCTTTGCGACACTTAAAAAAATATCCACTTTCACCTCATCTTTAATGAAGTTCGGTATTCTTTTTAATGTTTTGACATGTCCAAGTTCTCTGAATTGTGCATACATTTTAGACACAGTACCTTGTGAAATATTAGGCAACTGAGGATACCTCTGATTAAATAAGTTTGCTACTTTAACTTGACTTCTACAATTCTCCCCGTAAACGATCATCATTAAAATCTCAATTCGGTGGGTCTCAGTCAAATATTTCATTTTTATTTCTGCAAGAAATTAGCTTTTAATTAGGAATGTATTATTTTAGTATGAAATGTCAACACACCAACAACTGATTGATAACAATCCGCATTATTTACCGATTTATATTGTTCTGAAGCTATTTTCTTGTGGCATTGTAAATTAATTACTATTAAACTGGGAATAAGCCACAATTAAAGATAAAAATACGTTTATTGACGTTTCAATTTCCACTTCGGAAATCGTTCTCAAAATATGGTATTTGTAAATGTAAAATGTAAATGTAAAAAGTTTTTTCATCATTATCTATTTCATTATTTCATTTCATTATTAAGTGTATTATATAAGAGGTCTTTTTTTATATCAATAATGATAATATTATTACTTATTTCCAAATATTGGTCTTAAATGACAGTTTTTAAAAACTAATATTTAAGTATACTTCTTTGGAAGATTAATCATTGATTACTATTATTTTAACAGTAATCCTAAAAATTATAAATTAATTCATTTCAAATTCAGATGTTATAGACTCTTAGAATCTTAATACAACCCTGTACGATTATATAAAATCAGGTTTCACGTGTTCTGTGTATGTATTTGTTGACGGCTACTGTTAAATGAATATAGTCGCTCCGTGCGTGACTGATGCGACACCTACCGCCTTCATCTGACAATTTTGGAGTCCCAATTTTCAGGTTAAATATATGACATATGTTTGACATTGTTAAATACATGCGAAATTGACAATTATTAAGAAATTAGTTTTTTAACTATATTTTTTCAGTTTATGTACAAAATAAATGTAGTATTAAAAACTGAGTTTCTCAAAATTCATCATAATATATCTTTTTAACTCCAAACGGAAAAGAAAGCGAAAAATCTAGTACTGGCAAATCAAGTTTTTCACGCAAAAGAGCATATAATTAAAAACAATAATAGTAAAAGTTATGATATAAAAGCTAAGTCATCTGCAGTTAGCTTGAAGCCTTATGAAATATCATTCAAGGTAAATTATTTAAATTGTTCCTATTTCAATTGCATAAAAATGAAATTATGTGATATTTACTTTTTCATATTAATAGCACGAATTCATCTTTTTCTTTTCTCTAATTTATATGTAATCTTTGGGAACCTATAAAAACTACACTCACTGTTTTTGCTATTATTAGCAGAATTAAATACGCAACATGTATTTGCACACATTTTTGATAAAACTTATGCGTAAAAATATTTTGTCCAATATTCCAATTTTGTCATATTTCGCCGCTACGCACGCTGGCACCGTTTCAATGTACCCCTACCATGGTCACGCACGGAGCAATGTTCGAGATACTATCGAAAATTCCCAAAATGTCTAGTAATGTCTGGAACGTCAGTAAATGTATATAAACACAGATATTTGACAGTTTAAATAACAGTAGTATTTTGAATATAGTTGTCATAGTGTAAAAGTTGTAAGTAATATTGTAGGTGTTTGACTAAAGTAATTTCAAAGAGTTTAACAATACCTTGTTGATAAGTAAAATCGACTTACTTATGTGAGTAAAGTTGGAAAACTCCTGGACTCTATAAAGATCGCTTATTATATTCGAATTCAAACGACTGCAGAAGACAATTACTATTGAAAAAGTAGATGGCCACAAAAATACCGTTGTATATGAAAACATAAAAAAGAAGAAAAACCACAACGATTAAACATATTGTCATAGAAATACAAATATAAAAAACAGAAAGTTCAAATACTCATTCTGGTGTTACAGCCCTGAGAAGAGTCTCGACCTACCGACGGTCGGTTACTGACTATATCATTCTACCATTCTCATGCGCTGCTAAAGTACCAACCTGTTTTTTTTTAATTGGATATTTGCCTACCAAAGGGATAGGGCAGAGGGAACACTCGACCCCGATTGCAGGGATGTAACTTTAGAATGGTCGGGTGCAGGAATATTCAGTAGTAGTGGAAATTTAAAACTTTTTTTTTCACTAGGAGAATATACCTCTGTATTTCAGGCAGAGGATTTTGTAATCTTACAGTGTGCAATAGAAATTACCATGAGGGCTTTTGAACTGAAGCGGATTAATTTATGCACAGATAGCCAAGCGACCATTATATTACCTTTCCTTAACTACTGTATATATCTACACTTGATCCTTCTGCCGTTTTAGACTAGTTCGTGTACCAGATATTGTGGTACACGGAGGACGGAGGAAACACCAGGTTGTGTGTTACCCCTGTCAAATCTCTCGTGAACAGATGTCTATCTGGAAAGGAACTTTAAGATTTATTTGGGTACCATATCACCAAAAATATCCGTGTTGTATCCCTAGTTTCATTTATGATATTATTATGTCTGTAATTAAGGGCCTGCGTAGCGCAAGCGGTAGTGTGCTTGCCTCGCATGCCGGTGGTCGTGAGTTCGAATCCTACCGCCGGCAAGAACAACTAGGCATTTTTAAAAATGTCTATAGGCCCCAGGTCGACTCAGCCTGAATAAAATGAGTACCTTGGGTAAAACCAGGGGTAATAATAGGCGGTTGAAGCGTAGCACTGGCCATGTTACCTTCCTTGTATACCGTAGGCCCTAGATATAGCAGACTACCCTGCTATACTCCCAAAGCCGCGTGCGGTATAAAACGGGAGACTATTATTATTATATGT